TAGGGAAATTCTGATTAGTAAAAATTGAATGTCCGATTAGCACTGGCTTTGAAAATTCCGGAAATCTGAGAAATTTCATGAATTTCCCGAGATATGGTGATCTGCGTCTGTTCACACCTTTATGAAAACAGCTATAATTAGAATTTCCAATTCTTCGATTCCCCACATGAGCTATTGGTTAACCAAACGAGAAAAATATTTGTTTTTTTATGAAAATATCTTATTTATTTTTTAATGGCCAAGGATAGTTTCGAATTCTATAGATTAATAGAATTCGAAAATAATCTTAAACATTTAAGTTAAAAGGGACGTTATTGAAATATATTCGAACCAAAAGCAGATCATATTAAACTTTAATATATAGGATACGTACTAATAGACTAACAATTTTTGAACCAATCAGATTTGCATTTTAAAAATTCCAGATTCTCAGATTCACGTGTGGTGTGATGCACAAAAGTTACTCGGTGATTTGAAAAGCGCATCAGTAATTGACAGGGTGTTTTCGGAATTGTTATTTTTTTTTTACTGAAAGTTGGCAATTTGTGCTTCTAGACATTTTGAAAAATTATAAAAGAATAAATCGCAATTTTATTGGATAGCATTTTAAAAGTCATGCAATTACACAAATATGATTAGTTGGTTATTTTAACGCACTAATTATGTTCTTGCGTAATTTCACGTGCATTTAAACCGATGAAATTTGACGTGAGCAATATCTTTTAGAAATATAATATTGTATTTTCGTACTGAACTAACAAATTAAATAATTACATTTAATATTTGTCTATTCACCTTTTTTTTTAAATAAGATACTTAATACTCCATTTTAGTATTTAGCAACCATGAAAATACGAAGCAGAATATTTACAGTAATTGCTACCTTTCTTTTAAAGAGTATATAATTCAAATTTCACCGTTAGACTAGAAAATAAAAGGGTATAAATAAATTTATTAGAATTCATATTGCTTAAATAGACATTATATTTCTGTTTTCAGTTTCAGCTACGACAATAAATAAAGAAAAAGGAATAAATTTCTATTTTTTCGCATATTTAAAATCATTGTTTCTACAACTTCTCAAGAAGTTTTTACTTAATAATATTAACCAATCACTCTGATATTAGTTTAAAAAATATAAAATCAACCTTGGATCAAAATGTTCTTAAAACCATTATTCGAACCTTATCGAGAGCTTTTCTTTTAATTTAAAAAAAATCACATTTGCATTTTAGGCATGTCAGCTTAATTGATAAAAACATGTCACCTAATTATAATAAAATAATTCAAAGTATATATGGTTTATCTAAAAACGTTAAAATAAGGTTGATATGTTTGGTCGAGTTACATATGTGCTATCGTTATAACGTCTTTACTTTCATATAGTTCCCTTTAAATTATCGAGTCACAAATTGATACTTTAAGGCCAAGCTAACTATTTTAAAAGCCGAATAACTAAAAATAACAAAGGCAATAAACATTAGGAGAGCTCGGATTTTGGACGATTACATATTTAAATAACTAATTTTCTTCTTCCATATTACTTTGAACTATTTATGATTCTTTACATAAATAAAGGATTATGTACGTAAATTTTTTTTTATTAGCTTATCAAAAAAAAAAAAAAAAAATCATGCAATTATTGTTAATCATAATATTCACATTGAATACTTGCAATTACAACCAAGCAAAGCAATTAGACAAAAAAGCAATCTGAAAAATCACGAAAAACTTTCGTTATGAATGTTGAAAAATGAGTTACTGAACAGTAATGCGCTTTGCAGCAGTGCCCTCAATACGTGGTAGCTAATTTATTAAAATAAGGATTAATGTAAATTTGATTCACATTGAAAATTAAATAAATATTCACTTACTCTAATTTCAAGAAGTCCATTCTCAAATTTCGCTTTAGCTTTATCACTATCTACCTTAACAGAAAGAGGAATGGTGCGCTGTATAAAAAATCAAGGTAGAATAAATATAATTCTTTAAACTTTAAACCATATAGACCTCAATGATTCACACCATAAAACGACCAAAGCGACGTTCTTGTGTCCATGCAGTTCCAGTATTATATGTATCGTCTGGTTTATTTTCGCCGCTAACGATCACATTGTCTCCACGAATATCCACTGTTTATTAAAAAATTGTAAATATTATTATTATATGATGAGATAAAATAAAGTATCAATAACAAACTTATGGTTAAACAAAGAAGCGAAATAGAATTAAACATACCGCAAACATTATCTTTGGGAATTCCAGGAAGTTCCGCTATATTAAAAATATAATAGTTTTTTTTAAAAAAAAAAAAAAATCTGAATCGATAAAGTTATTGATCGGTTTCAAAATACTGTGAACGACTAATTCATTCTCAAGTTCGCGAACTATATCAAAAAAAAAAAAAAAAAGATATATATATATACATATATATAAATGAAAATGAAAAAAAATAATGAAATGAAGATAATTTGTTAATATGTATTAAAAAAAAAAAACCAATATTTACCATCGACACGGGGTGCCCAAACACCATCACCAAGTCGAGTACCTGTCGTAGAAGAACGATTTGTATCGCCCCAAAGGTCAGAAAATGCACGGTCTACATCACGACGAAAGCGCGATATCACATCGTCAAGAAAAGAATCACCGTGTTGTTCGCGTGTAACAACAGATCCACGACTGGTCATTGTTAAAGAAATAAAAAGTAATCACAATAATTACTAACAAACAAGTTTAAATCGATTTATATATATTTAATAATAAAGAAAACTGTTATTAATTTGTCTAATTATTACATCAGTCGCTTTGAAAAAATAGTCACATATATGTAAGTTATAACATTCGATTTTATGCTTTATAAATAAATTGGAACACCGAAATACATATTACACAAACTTGACGATACACGCTGCTGTTTTTGAAATGATTGAGTTTACTTTATTTCAATATTGTTAAATATTTCATGACAATAAAGGATAAAAAATGGATCCTAATCAGAGACTCGACTTTATCGGATTATTACATACACTAGTTAGTTGTTAATATGTAATTTAAATATAAATCAAAATTACTTACACTAAGTAAATAATAATAAAAAAAAAGAGATTGAATAAACTAAGGATAAATCAGATTTCATTCAGATTTTTCGGGGATTGGGTCCGGTTCCTAAAGTCTGGTTTTCTTTTAACGTTACTTCGTTATAGTAACCACGACCCAATTTAAAAGTGATCTTACTGTATTTTTTACGGAAAACAGTTCCCTCTAATATTTAAATTCTATATCAAATTTGTAAATTTGTAAAGCTCAGGTCTAACTCAGATTGACCCGACCCAAGCGATGATTATTGATTTTGAAGTCCTTATTCAAGTCATTATTTGCTTTTGTGCGTGATACGAAATAGGAAAAATATATTTTTAACTTCTCGAAAAGAATATACATGTAAAATATATAAAATATATTATTAAAAATATTTCTTAAAACATCTATTTAGTATTATCTTCATTAAATAAAAGATTCTAAAAACAATATTCAACCATTTGACATTTGATAACAGCTAAAGCATTTAGCAAATTCACCATATGATTACAAAGTCTGATTTTATTATGTTCTAAAACATTAAGAACTTCTAAATGTGGTTCCTTAAAATGGGGATGTATGCCTAAAGACTTTTACAAGTATGCTATATCATCTTGTGCATAATAAATTGGTTTGTTTTAACGTTGCATTTGTTTTTAATAGAAATGACAATTAACCCGTCTTTTTTCGAGTTACTTTTTTGGAAGGTTCCTTTCTCGATTGAAAAAGATATTTGTTTCAGTGATCCTAATCAGGCGTAACATGAAAATTGATTATTCTTATCCCTATAAAAAATCTCTTCCAGAATTTTGGCCCTTTTCATGCCAACAAAAACAAAAGTTTTTTTTGCAATGTTTTGGATTAGGAGTGGGATTATTTTTTAAAATACTTTATTATTTAATTAGTGTGTGACAATTTAGTCAAGCAATATAATCTGTAAACACCACATAATAATATGGCTCGGATTTATCTTTATTATGTTTATTGTTTGCCTTATTGATTGAACTAGTGCCATACATCTAGGCATTACTGTATTTTCACGTAATAATGTTATCTGTGCGTTATTTTAAGATAAAAGCTGTCTCTCTAAAACAGCAAAACATTTATTTTATTGATCAATTTACATTGCCCCAAACATGCACGACACGTTACTTCGGAACGAGCATGGGTGTCAATTCAAAATCATGCATGTTATCTTTTAGTTTACACAATATTCGAAATAGTGCTCATCAACGTTATTACATAAAAATATGACGCTAAAGTATTACGCATTACTATTTACGATTTTGCGTCGTTCAAAATCTTTACCCGTAATTAATTATGGCAGCTACATTTCAAGTGAGTGGCATTATAAACCTGATTGAATATACCCAACAATTAATTGCGTAAGAGAGGAGATTATCTAGGAAAGAATTCTAATAAGCTAACGTTTCTTTTTAACGATTATTACAAAATTTTAAATCGGTAGAATTCTTAATAAAAAGTCTGAAGTCTTGTGGTTGGTTGTAAATAAGGCTAAACATTATAGAATACTAACTTTGACTTTAAAACTGAAATAAAAGTATAATAAGAATCGGGAATCAGTTATTATTAACGAAGTGGACAATAACATATAACTTCAATTTTCATAACAATATAGAAAATAATGCACAAATTACAGAATTTAAAATTTACAATTTTGATAAACTTATTTATTAAGTGGATTGATTAATATTAAACTTTAGGGTTTTCTATTAATTTGAAATACTTCATATTCCTCCACTGAAAATATTGATTGATATTTATATTCATTTCTAATTATTCTTTCATAATCCGAAGTTCGATTGCACCAACAACTCCCGTCTTGATCAAAATTATTTGACATAACAAGAAAAACGGATGGCTTATAGCCAAAAAGTGGACCATAAGTAACATTACAACAAATTGCATTATGTGGATTTGTCACACGACTTAAAATAGAATTTTTTATGGTACCATTTTTCAACGAAAAAACAAAGCTTTCATTGCAACTCCTCGTTATAAACTCATTAGAAGTTGGTCTATCCCATCCGATAGGATTATATCCACCAAGAATTTCATCAGTGCCTTTAACCTTCATAACAACAACAAGATACGTTTTCTTATCACATAAATCCCAAAATGAATCTTTAGTAAATCCATTTCTAGTTCCACGAAGAAGTAATTTAAAATCATATGGATTATTTGTTATTGAATATGCAGTATCTTTTCTATCAACCCATGAAGCAATTTCGGCTGCATGTGCGTCATTAATAACCATTGAAAACGGTTCTGTTATTCTTGTCGGCAATGTTGGTGTTAAAATTACACGAGGCGGAAGAATTATTGATGATACTGGGCGATCTGGAATTACAAGTTTTTTCATTATATCATTCCAAAGATTTTTATCTAATATTTGTTGATATGGTTGCACATTATCAATGATGTCTATTCCAGACATTTGAAAATAACGGATTAAAGGCAAGCAATCTTGTAAAGTAATCTTTAAAGCCTGAAAATTCTCATGGGTCCAGTTTTCAGGATTGGAAGATAGGCTTGGATTTTTTGCAATTCCCCATTCAATAACACGATTCCAAATTTTTACTTCTTCCATTTGTAAATCATCTCGATTAATAATTGAAATTAATGCATTTCCTTGAAGTGAGATGAACTCTTCCGAATCAAAAACTTTTTCTGGATACTTTACTACAATATCATTGCACCATTTTTGTAATTTTTGAAGTTTTTCATTCTGAAAACTTTTTTGATAAATACGAGCAAAATGTAAACGAAGCCAATGAGATTTTGATTCAACTAAGTGCGTTTCAAGGTACTCCGCCAATTCTTCAAAAAGAAATTCGTATGCAATAAGCATAAACTCGAAAATAAATGACTCATCATGTTTTTCAAGCAAGACTATTCCTCCGTATATATACCTTTATGTAAATTTATTACTGTATGTTTTAGATTTATTCTTACAACGTAAATTACATAAATTATAAATTATAAATAACTTACTTGATAATAATTTCAAATTGTTGAATGGAAACATTTTTTAAATCAAGTGTTTTAATATTATTCTTATCTTTACTAACTTTTGCCAATTCATCACGAAAATATATAGATCTGTGTCTTAAAATTGCTGAATGTGCTCTGAATATTTTAACGTTTGGAGATTTACCAACATTAATAATTATATTAAAATCTTCTTTATCATCAAGAAGTTCAAGATAATTATTCGAAAGTTTTTCAAAAAATTTTACTGCCATTTCAAATAAGCATAAATCATCCAAATTATTGAATCGGTTAAAAATGTACAAGTAAGGACGCTAACATTCAAATGTTAACTATACTCTGAAATGGATTTGCAAAAATACTGTTACACCCGGAAATTATCTTATCAATTCTGTGTAACGGTTTGTGGTTTGCGCTAATTAAAGAGGCAAATAGCTAAATGTATATGAAGATAGAAGTAGTCGTATAACAAGTTTATGATTTATACTCTAAGTTACTCGTTTATGGAGACATTATAACTATTTATTAATTATTCCCGGTATCTGTGTATGAAGACGCAATTACTCTCTAGGGAATTGCCAACTGTATTGTTTATTTAATAAAGTGTTCGAGTTGTTCATGTATGAAGACACTATTACTCCTTTATTAGTTTTGTGAGTTTGGAACTCTATTAGGTTGTTGAGTATAAAACTGACTTTACAAGAACAAGAAGTGGTACTATTTATATATTTCGAATTATTATGATCGTACACTTTTGTACGATTTAGCTATACCAACCATTTCTAATACTATTTAAAGCTATTGATTCTGCAGGTGCTTAATAAAAGCTTTAGCACTTCATAGTGCTAATGTAGCGCTATTACTTCTATTAGTGCTATTAGCGCTATTATTATTCTTAGCACTTTTAGAATTCTTGGAATTAGAGTCACATTATTGTTAATTACTGCATAATATCGAATTACAAGGGGTTAACAATATGTATCAAAATATACCAAGTTTCATTAAATACTTTATTAGTTTTGTTTGCTCCAGATTTATAAAAGTTCTCTTTCCTTGTAAATAATAAAATAAATAACACAAATTCCATTAATTAATCTTGTGGACAATGCAATGTTGATTCAGAGATGACTAACTAAGCACATAGCATTGACAGTTGGTAAAATTGCTAAAGATGAAAATTATATTGAAGTTTCTAACTAAATCGAAACAAAAAAAAATAAGAAGAATAATCATATGAATATTTAATTTAAATTATTATAACTTGCATATTAACCATTTCTATTATATATATATTAATTGTTTAATAAAAGATGGTTTTTTATTAAAATTTAGGGTTAGCATAGTTACGTAAAAATTAGGTAGGGATTAGATATAATGTGCTAATTTTAGTATTACATTAGGTTTGGGCTCTGAATCATTTTTATTTAATATTCCCGACCCCGTTGCTTAGTGTAACCACTGGTGCAAGTTAAAAATTTCCTTTAATTTACTGAATTTTTCAAATGTTATGAACATGTCAATTCTAATGAGCTTTCTAACACTCAAAGTGATAAAGATAATCTGTAAACAACTATTCATTATCTAAGCATCTAATAACTAAAATATAAGACAAGATGTGGTCTCAGTTGAAATAAAAAAGAAAATTATATTTAACAATTGTTTAAAGAATTGGACATTTATTATTTTCTAATGCTTTTCCTGCTAATTCTATCGCCGTTTTAGTTAGCTTATCTAAACCTCTTCCAATAGCTGCAAAAAGGCCTATTTCTATAGACTCCTTATTTTCATGCATCAATGTTTTTATTTCATCTATTCTCTTCATTATTCCATCCATTGTCTTTTTTAGTTCATATTCTTCCATTCTTCTTTCAATTTCATTAAACACATCTTGAGTAAAACTTATTTCCTTTGATATTTCGTCTGTACCACTTAATCTGTTTAATTGTTCTTGTATTTTATTATATTTTTCTTGCAATTCATCTAGTTGTTCTTGCAACTCCTTGTTTTCACTTAATAAGCGGCCAATTCTTTCGTTTATCTCATCCAAGCTCTCCGGCTTGTAAACATCTTCACAAGTCACTAAATGATCTATTACTCTCTTTCTAGCATACTTACAGATTTTCTTATTGAGATTAATTTGTTCTTGTATCATTTCTCCTTTTCCTTTCATATTTATTGGTGGATTATCTATATGAACAACTCTTTCACTGCATGATTGGATCATTTCGACAATTGCTTTATTTTCATTTTCAATCAATGATTGAATGTCACTCTTACATGAATCTTCATCACCAAAATTATCAAATCTTGTTCGAATAATTGTAATATATTTAGTAATGTCTTTATCAAGTCTCTCATCAAAGAGAACTCTTCTTATAATGTTATAAGCAGAAATTTCCTCTGTCGTTAAATATTCTCCACATACAAATAAAATTTGATTTATCCCTTTCCTGACTTTTTTACATGCTTTAGCTATCTCAATTAACACATCTCTTTTACTTAATGTTGTGTCATCAATTCCCACAGTGTCAATGATTTGATAATTTATCTCCTTTATTTCTCCACCTACATCTATCTTCAAACTAATTTTTTTGGATTGAATCTTTCTAGTTTGACTAAGAGTTCCTTTACCCCTTTCAAAAACTTCAACAAAATTTCCCCCTTCTTCGAAGTTTTTCTCATTATTTACTATTATATTGGCTAAGGAAGACTTGCCTTGACCTGTACGACCAATTAATAATACGTTTCTATATTCACTCATAATGTTTTATGCTGAATCTTTTCATCAATACCGATGTAAATTAAAATCTTAAGAATTTACTGTAACCTCTTTATATAATTAAAATCTTAATTTTTATATCAATTCTATTTGAAATACCTAGACTTAAAAAGTAAAAGATTGCTATTATAAGTAGTTTAATCTATGTAATATATACTGTTAAAAAGTCATTTCTTAGTATTGACATTACCAATTTAGGCACATTAACTTGCCCCCTGAAATTAGATCTTCCTTGCACGCGTTAGTGATTTTAGGCAGTTTCAACTTCAGGCGCGTGAAGTTACAACTTCAAGCAGATACTAACTTTAAGTACGACATTACCATAGCAATACATGATCCGAAATCCTGCAAAAATTGTGGATTGATGATCAACATTCGAATTTTGGACATAAAGATTTAATTTCGCTGATCCTATCGTTATTAGGTTAAAGTTCAAAAGATAACATAATGCTAAAATTTTGCAAGTAAACCTTTTGGCAAGGTATATAGGTAGTTTCATAGACAAACTTTAGGTTGTTTTTTTAGCGAAAATTTTTTAATATGATAACTAGGGCATTTTATCGAATTAATACATTACTTTCGTAAAAAATATTGTCAAATTTCTATTCAGAGTCCAGGTAAGTTACATAATTAAATAATAATATCAATATGAATTAAACGATGAGCTGATTTTGTAACACTGATTGCAAATGTAAATATAAAAGACTGTTTTCCATATATAGTACTGTTCAAAGAAGACCTTTTAGTATTTACGCTTTAGGAAAATTCAACTCAGGAGAACAGAATTCGAATTTGGCTAACGAAAAATTAGTTGCCCAGTAAGATGAAAGATTGATAAATATGCACCAATTAGATTACTCAAAACAATTAAATATGCGTTAATATTTTAAAGTGCTAAAACCTCACGTTAGGGTAAGAATAGAAATTACAATAGAAAATAGTCTATACCAAAACCTCCCAAGGAATTTTTTTTTTATTAGAGCACAGGTGAGTTATAGTTATCAACCGTTTTCTTTTGCTAAAAATGTGTGATTTTCACGTTACACCCGATCTAGGGCGTCGATCATTTGAAGAAATCTTGATTGGTGCACCCGCAACTATCTTTCAGGGATAGCTCAGAAAATTAAAGATGCCGACCCGGAATTTGAAATCCGTCATAATATTTCTAAAAATGGTTGTATACGAACGTTTAAAATTAATCGAACGAGCTGAGTTTGTAGTTTCTTAATAAACGTTGCAAATCTTAACGGTATACGTCTCATTCAATTCTAATCGCACAGAGCGAACTCTAAAGTTCTAAGTTTATTGTTATGCATATTGTTTTACCTTGATTATGTATGATATCCAGATACTGTAGCAAATGAGATAAGTTACCTTATCCTCAGCGACTAGAGACGAATATGATCCACTAGGTCAGATTAGAGATGGCACCAAACACAATCATATTGTGCATGATGCGCACTTAAGTTCTTGTGAGTATATTCACTATCTAATAGTCATTTGGCAAAAATGCACCATGCGCATTATGCTCATCATGAAAATCAATGCATAATGATCATGAAAATTACATTTAATAGCCCAAAAATGCACTCAAAAAATGTGCATTTTGCCTATGTCAAAATGTTTTTTTATTAACCAAGACAGCGCGAAATCATGATCAAAGCAGATTGGCTCATCCTTGCACTTAGAAACTTTCACACGCTACTATGAAGAGATATACAGAAGCTAACGTCGTTTAGGTTCTTGATGGTTTTTTTTTATAGCTCTCGGCTTAACTTCACACAACCTTGTTTTTAACTTTATATTGATACGGGTTTTTAGGGTCGGGAACGGCACTACTAGGACAAGAGGGAATGCGACGGATTGTCGCTTCAGAAACGTTGACGTCGCGTAACGTTACTCAAGGCAGATGAGGCGGTTTCGATTTGGCACAGGTCAAAGGCGGCCTTGAGAACGTCACGAAGGATGCGGATGTAATGTAATACGGGTTCAAAGGAGTGTAGAGCTTTTATTTATTGTTTAAGTATAACAATTAGAGCTTTATTAACTAAACGTTTTTATTTATTTATTTTAGGGCGGGTTTAAAGTCTAAAAGGTGATTTGGTTTCTCTAATACGATACAAGGCGATTTTATTCTAATAATTATTATTTCATACAAGGGGAATCCGACCTATTTTATAGAGAATTTCCAAGGGAAAAGAAGGGAACTTCGAACACGACTTGGGGCACCTTTTTCTCATTGTTACCAACCGTTTTACCCTTATTTGCAAACATTTTTCCCTTTTTCCTACAATTCATCCGTCGTTACTTTAACTTTTTTTTTTTATTGAACTTCAATACTCCTACAACGACACACAACCCAACATATGACGTCGCATTGACACGGCCACAGACTTTACCTGTCAAGGTAATATTACCTTGACAGATGTACTCCAAATCGGGCGAGTGGCTTTTTCTTCAATGGATCGGCACCGTCATTTAATGAAAAACTTGTTTTGTCCTGGGTTGCGGGCATCGTGGTACGACGGTTTTCATGGGGCGTTTCGGGTGTCGTTACACATTTTATTCTCCAAAGTCCTAGCGTCGGATTTACCTATAAAAATATCTTCAATTAGTGAAAGTTGGTATAATTTGATCTTAATAATTTTTTCTATGTAGAATAAATAAGTTAAGATATTATTTAATATTATTCTTGATCTTTCTGTATAATCTTAGTTCTTATATTCAATTTGCAATTATAGACTGTATTATCACTTTAAATACATTATATTTTATAAAATAAATTAAAAAGTTTATTAATAATATTAAATCTAATGAATGTTATTTTAAACTATATTTTTGAAATTATATATATTATAATATTAAGTTTTAAAAATAAATTATTATATATTGTTGAGTTTGGAAGTTGTGATTTGTTCATTCCACAATTTAGAATCTTGTATAATATATAATAGGTAACCTTTTTGAAAAAGAATGTTAGATTTGGCTAGTGGGTGATTAAGGCTTTCAGTTACTTTGGGTTAATGAATGCAAGTAAAGTAAGTTACATGATAAAGAACTCAAATAAATAACAAAGTTTATGAATTTTACAATGTTTGTATTAGGTATAGTGTTAATATTTTATTATAAACACTATAATGTATTAGGACTTGTATTTTAATAAAGCAAATAAAGTATACACTTCTAAAGGTCATTTTAGCCTTTATTTATAATACTGAATTCATCACTTACAAATACAATTTATCTATTAAAACAATTAAACTATATATATATATTTATTTAATATCCTTTATTTTTTCTCTTTATCTTTTATATACTTCTTTGGATCCAAAATACAGTTTCTGATCTTAAATGTAACTTATTGCATTTATTACATTTATTGCATTTTATATATTTTTCATATAATCAGTTATAATATTTCAGTAACACAATATTGATTAAATATTTTTTTTTATTAATTTACAAATTTATAGTCAACATTTTTTGATAATCAACAATAATAAACTGAACTACAAAAAAAAATATTATAACAAAAACAAAAAAATAGGTTGTTGCTAACAAAATCAAAATAGGCATATAATACTAAGAAGCAGATATACTTGTAATTGTTTAAAAAGAAATTAAGCTTTTTTTTTAAATAAACTCTTTTTTTATTTGGTATCCAAACCAGAAAATTTTTTTAAAAAAATAATTATGAAAAAATTTAAGTAAGAATTATAAGAAACTTAAAGTAACTACTATATAATTATAAAACTTATATAAAGAATTATATATAAAATTTTATTGTTTTTCATTTTATTTAAAAAAATTTTATAAAAATAAATAATTTAGTTTATTTTTTTTAAAAGATCAATATATAAAATTATTAAATAGTTAGCAGTATTTATTTTTTTAAACAGAATTGTTGATAATCTAATTTAAAAATAATACTATAAGAGATGTAGTAATCTAATAAAATGGATAAGTTGTCAAACTCCAAGTGGCAAGTCTAGTATTCAAATTCTATAGACAGTAAAATTTGGATAATTATAACTATATTACAGTAACTGTGTTTTGTCAATCAGTTAGACAGAAGTGAAGATCTGTAATCTTAGTAGCACTATCTTGAATAGGAACTTGGGGCATCTGTGTAAAATATAATATTACATATATATAGAGGAATGTTAAATAACCAGTATTGTATAAGACTTCAATGCAAACCTATGATATGACCACTAGACATATAACACTAAGAAACTGAAGTACAGAAACCCACTTGAAAATCCTGAATAAAGAGATAGTATAGATTTTTGATGATATTATCAGACTTACAAAAGGTTTAAAAAAGAATAACTAGAATAGAATAAATGACAAAGTATATAAAGAAAATATATGTATCAACAAGCTGCTAGAACTACTAAAGAAAAAGGATCTTCAAATACCATATCAGGCCATCTGAGTTGGTAGTTTAAAAAATCAAATAAGTTTAAAGTATAGGTGCAAATAGTAAATAAAAGAGGCATTGGAGTCTTAGTAAACTTTACAAGTGTATAGTAATTTAATAGTTAGCCCTAACTGCAAGTAATAGTCTAGGCCAAAGCAATACTATGTCAGCTGTAAGTATAAGATGCAAAAGGCTCTAGTAAACTTAGTATAAAGTTAAATATAACTTAGTAATTATAGTATATTTACAAATTAATACTGCAATTGATAGGATAGAAGTGGATACAAGAACTAGAGTGTTTAAATAAAGAACTCACAGGCAAATTCTAGATATGACAACTAGTATAGAACCTTTGGACAGACTACTTAAAATTAATAATGACTAAAGTTGTATGAGTAGCTAGTTGTACACTCTTTTCATAATTGCCTTTGTAGCTATTGTATAGAATAGTCATATATTAACATATTATTAATAAACTTCTAGGTTACAATTACTTGTTTTAATATTAAAAAAAAAACAATACTATAATACAAACATGATTTATGTATGTACTTTAAAC